TAAGTCTGACAGTAGAGTGGGGGGTAGGTATGGAGAGGCAAGATCCTAGCTATGGAGTAGTTGTACACACGAGTGTTTAACGAGTTCAGGCCCTTCCCTGAGGAAGTAATAGCCTAGAGGCGGTCGACTGGTTTATGTGTTTAAGGATTACAGGGGTGCGAACCTTTCTACCAGTGGAGGGGGTGGCTTATATAGAGGATGCCAGGACCCCAGCCAACCCACGTAGCAGAGGATTAAAGTACATTAAGGCCGGGCATTACTGGTAACGCCCTACATAAAGTGTCATCATGACCATTAAGACTACTTAATTACAGACCGTTTGGATACAGAGTAGATCCTGAACTCCTGATGGTCGAGTGAGTCTTCATGGTCGAGTGTCTTTAGGTTCGTCGAGTGTCTTCTAGCCGGTCGAGTGAAGTCTCTCTTGATCGACTGGAAGGTAGCTTCGTCTAAGGATGTCCTTGGGTATGGTATCCTAGATAGGTCCATGACCCTACCCTAGGTACATAACATCATCATTAGCCCCCGAATGGATCGAGGTTCGAGTGAGGAAGGAGTTGATGATTTTCTCCGACTCATTTCCTATGCTTTGATTATGTCGTATCTTGGATCGGCGATTTTTCTTTCGGCGTTGGCGTCAACTTTTGCTTCAGTCGCCTTGATCCATTCTTGTCTTCTGTCGAGTGAACTTTTTGAACTTTGGTGAACTTTCGAGCGACGGATCGCAAGAAAGATATCGTCTGACAGATTGATCTGTTGTTTAGCGGATTCTGCGGGATCCGAAATTTGGGAAGCGCGCGAAGCGGGCCGGACCGCGGCAATCGGATGGGATAAGGCGTGGACGCCTCGATTTCCGTGCCGCCTTTTTCGCCACGTATCGTGCGTGCGCGACTGTTTCGGGATGTGGCCGGATCGCTCGGACCCACTCGTCAGCCACTCGGAAGCGTCCTTATATAAAGCGCCGGGGGAGGGTTTTTTGAACAGTGCCTTCCCATTCTTCTCTCCTCCCTCTTTGCCTCCGCCTGCTCTCGCCTCCGCCTATCCGCTCCTCGCGCGCTTCGCCGGCGACAATGGTGAAGGAGAAGACGGCGGCCCTAGAGCGCGCGAAGAAGGCGACGGCGACGGGGAAAGCGAAGGGGAGACCGTCCAGTCGGGGCGGATCGTCGTCAAGGTCCCGCCTGCCAAAGGGTTGGGTCCAAGGGGATTGGATCCGCTCGACCATCACGGAGAAATATCTCAATGACCTGGCCAATGAGGGACTGATCCCCCACGGGTCAGCAAGGCTTCCGGGGACCGAGTGTCAGCCGCAGCCGCAGGAGGGTGAGTGCGTTCTCTTAGCCACTCATGTAGACCGTGGTTTTTCTCTGCCGCCGAGTGTTTTCTTCCGAGGGTTTCTGAATTTCTTTGGGGCGCAACTCCATCATTTCAATCCCAATTCCATCGCCTGTCTTGCTGCCTTTGTGTCCATGTGCGAGAACTTCCTGGGTTGTCGACCACACTGGGGTCTCTTCAAGCACATATTCACCTGTCGCTCATAGACAGTGAAAAAGGCGAGTCCGGACGATGAGAGGACCAAGGTTATTCAGATGTGCGGGGGTCTTGGGATTCAGTTGAGGAATAAGAGCACTTTCCCGGCCATGACCCTTCCTGAGTCGGTCAGAGGGTGGCAGTCGACTTGGTTCTACTGCCAAGACGAGTCGACGCCGGGGCAGTCGACTGGTCTCCCTCCGTTCTCCATGGACCGAGTGGACAAACCGTCTTCTCTGAAGGTGCTTCCTGAGGAGAAAGCCGAGGTAAAAATGTTGATGGAGCGCGTGGTCCAACTCGTTCGGGACGGAGTGACGGGCATGGATCTTCTGGAAGTCTTCCTTAGGCGGCGCATCCAACCGCTTCAGTACCGAGGCCACCCGATGTGGTTGTACTACGGTACCGAAGACACCACTCGGGTCCATCCAGAAGCAGTCGACGACGCCACACTGGAGAGGTGGGTGGCCGCCATCACAGGGAACAAGGACAAACCTCGAGGGGCCAGGAGGATCCTGCCACTCGACTGTACTTATACGCCAGACACGGTATGGTCACTTATCTCCGATTGTAATCTTGCTTTATCCATTCTGCTTTACCGCGAATTGGTCGATTGATCTTTGTTTTGCTTTGTTGTCTGACAGGCCACCACTGAATTATACTCGATGCCCAATGGAGCGCAGGCGCCGACTGAGGAGGAGGAAGGAAGCGGGGCGAAAGCCCGGAGGAGAGGGATTCGGATGCTGACGACGATGACGAGGGCGATGACTCTGGTGAGGAGGAAGAAGAGGAGGAGGAGGAGGAGGAAGTTGCACCTCCCCGCTCGGAAAGACGCTCGAAACTTGTCCATGATCCCGCAACTGAGCGTGGTAAGGGGGTCGCGACCGCTACCCAGTCGACCAAACACCCTCGGACTACTTCTCCGGCACCGACTGAGAAGGCTCCGAAGCAATCTCGAGTGGCACCGTCGAAACCTGCGAAGGTCTTGCCGAAGATGAAGATGGTGATCTCCACGATCTCAGGGTAATGGTAGTCTTGAGTTTTCCCCGTTTCATGAACTTTCCCTTGGTCGACTCATGGGTCAATCGACTGACTTCCGGAACTGCAGCGCTGCTACTTCTGATACTTCGGCCAGGGCCGAAGACCACGAGATGGAGGATGCTGCTACCTCAAAACCTGGTATGACTCTTGTGATGCCGTTTTCAGTCGACTGACTTATTGTCTCTAATTTTGATTCTTTCTGCAGTTTCATCTAACATTGTTATTGACCTTCCTGACGACGACGATGAAGAACCACCGCGGTAGAGGAGGAGCAAGAAAACGTCTGCTGGCAAGGCGACTCATGATGTGCCGGCACCCGAGACGTTGGTCATGGAGGGAGACAATGTCACTCGACCCACCGTAACCTTTGCGGTGTCGTTGACGAGTGCTCGCCCTTCGTCGTCGAGTGCTGCTCAACCCTCGCTTTTCTCCACCTACCCCGTTCCAGAAGACCAAGCTAGTGCTGCTAAAGAAGCAATACGCCAAGCGGGGGTCATGATGGAGCAAGTGAAGGCAATACGAGAAGCCAGCCAGGCAGCCTATGACGCCAGTTCGGCTCTCCAGAGTAATGTTCAGGCCAGTCGGTCACTGCCTGTTCTGTTAGGATATGATATCTGAAAACTCTTCTTTCTGAAATTCCTAGAGTTTGACCTACACCCACTGGGTGTGTCGATTGAAATTCCGGATTAGTGGGGGCACGCTGAGTGCACCCACTGGGTGTAGTCCCCAAGGCTATGGTCGACTGCTGGCAGTCGACCATAGGCTTTATGTCTTAAGTTTTTTCCTTACTCGACTAGGTCGAATAGATTCATAGACCGGTGGGGGCACACTGAGTGCACCCACTGGGTGTAGTCCCCGAGACTGTGGTCGACTGCGGGCAGTTGACTATAGTCTGAAGAACATCTCCCCTTTTTTTTGATGTGTTGTTGGTCGACTGGTCGACTCTAACTGATGAAACTAGTGGGGGCACGCTGAGTGCACCCACTGGGTGTAGTCCCCGAGACTATGGTCGAATGTTTGCATTCAGCCGTAGTCTTAGAAACGCTATGATTTTTCGTTACTCACTCGGAAGTGAATTGTCTTTGACATCTATCGATTGGTTCTTCGTAGAAATCCTGTGACCTTGCGGCTCATTATACTGAGTTGGAGAACAAACACATTCAGCTCGAGCTCAATCTGAAACTGGCCCAAGAGAACTTGACGAAGGCGAAGGAGGAAGATAAAGGTATGCTTGGTGAGGCCTTTGACGACTGCCTTTGCCTCTCACTTGTTTCCGAATCTAATCTCACTGTAACTTTGCAGACAAAGTGAGGGATGCCCTGAAGAAGCAAGAGCTTGACTTGGCCGAGATGCAAAAAACTGCTTTAGAGAAGACCAAGCTTGAAGAAGAAAACACCAATCTGAAAGTTGCTCTTGATGCTGCCAACCAGGAGGTCAGTCGACTGAAAAGTGACAAGACCACCCTGAATGACAAGGCCAGTGAGTTGAAGAGAAAGAAGAACGATCTAGAGGCTTATCTGGGTGGACTCGCGAAGAAGTTGTTCCTCATGCTTGAAGGTAATCCTTTGTATCAAACAAATATTTTAATTGTAACCTCCGACTGTTTGTCTTGACTCGGTGGTTGTGCTTGCAGAATTTTGTCAGAACTTTGAAGAGGAGACTGGTCGACTGGAGGTAAATCTG